TGGCAACACCAGGCAACTACAGGCCAATTATCTGCTTACCAACAACTTTCAAATTGCTAACTGGTGTGATAGCTGATGCAGTATAACAGCATCTTGTTGAAAACAACCTCTTTCCACCTGAGCAGAAAGGAAACCGCCCCAATAGCAGAGGAACAAAAGATCAACTCCTAATAGACAAAATTATCTTGGAAAACTGCAAGAAAAGGAAGACCTACCTGAATGTGGCATGGATTGACTACAAAAAGGCATTTGACTCTCTGCCACATGACTGGATAATCAAGTGTCTAGAAATAACAGGAGTCTGTAGAAACATCAGAAAATTTGTGCAAAGATCGATGGCATAATGGAAGACACAGTTGCAGGTCAATGGTGAAAGACTGGGAGAGGTTAATATCAAGAGAGGAATATTTCAAAGAGACTATTTGCTATTGCACTGTTTTCTCTGTCAACAATACTGAATAACTCAGGACATGGCTATCAAACATCAAAAACATCTGCCAGACTATCCCACCTCCTTTACATGGAAGATCTGAAGCTGTATGGAAAAACATCATCTGAAATAGAATTGCTGCTGATAATAGCCAAGATATTGCAATGGAGTTTGACTTGGACATATGTGCCACGCTTACTGTCAAATAAGGAAAAATAGTGAAAACTGAAGGAATCAAGATGCCCCACGAAAATAACATTAAGAGTCTGGATGAGGAAAATTACTACAAATACTTGGGTATCCTTCAAACTGACAACATCAAGCACACTGAAGTCAAGAAAAAGATTAGAGGTGAATACATCAAGAGAGTGAAGAAGATTTTAAAGTTCAAACTCAATGGAGGCAATCAACACCTGGGCAATTCCAATCATTAGATACACAGCTGGAATAGTGGACTGGACTCAAGCAGAACTAAAAGCAATGGATAGGAAGACCAGAAAAATAATGACAATGAATCATGCCCTTCATCCATGCAGTGACATTGACAGACTCTATTTACCAAGGAAAATAGGTGGACATGGAATGCTGCAAGTACATCAAATGGTTGAAGAAGAAAAAATGGCTTTGGAAGAATATCTGAAGGACAATGATGAAGATGCACTGAAATTAGTATATCAGGAAGGCTTACTGACTACTGGAGAGACCAAACTGGCCTACAAGAAAGACCATATGAAGAACAGAATAGAAGCATGGGAAGACAAAGCACTACGTGGCCAGTACGTTAAAAAAAATAGCTGGGAAAGCAGATAATAACAAGACCTGGCAATAGCTAGGAGCAGGAAAGTTGAAGAAAGAGATTGAGGGACTAATTCTGGCTACACAAGACCAAGCCTTAAGACAGGGGTGTCAAACTCAATTTCATTGAGGGCTGCATCAGCACTGCGGTTGCCCTCGGAGGGTGTGTGTGGCCAGGGTGAGTGTGGCCTACTGGATGGGCATGGACAGAGTGGGTGTTGCCTACTGGGTGGGTGTGGCCAGCTCTACATCGTTCACGTCAAGGGTGCCTATGGGGGCCTGGGCAGGAGTGGGACAGATCTGAGGGTTTTTGGTAGAAGGGGGTGGGACCAGGGCAATGCCAAGGCATGGTCCACTGGAGGAACCTCACTGTTCCTCTCAGGCCATGCGTGGGGGGTTGCATGGTGGCACGGGCTGCCCAGCCTGGCCCTCGAGCATCTGCAGCACCAAGCTGTTTCCAGGCAGCCTTGTGGAGCTAAGACTGAATACGTTTCAGCATAGATGGCCACCACAAAATTGTATATTGGCTCCCGGCTAGGCCAGGGCCAAGGCAGCGGGGGCCATTCCCTCATTGTTTCCAGGATGGCTTCATAGGCCACATGAAACCACTTCGCGGGGCATATCCGGCCCCTGTGCCTTGTGTTTGACATGTCTGCCTTAAGGACAAATGCACACAAAGTCAAAATTGAGAAGACAGCAACAGACAGTAAGTGCCACCTATGCAAAGAAGCTGAAGAAACAGTGTACCACTTGGTAAGCTGTTTGTTGCAAGAAGATTGCACAGACTGACTACAAGCAGCGGCATGACAAAGTAGCAAAAATGGTACACTGGAAGATCTGCAAGAAATATCATTTGCCTGTAACCAAGAACTGGTGGATTCATAAAATAGAGAAAGTCATAGAAAATGATAAAATTAAACTGCTCTGGGACTTCAGAATTCAAACAGACAAGCACCTGCAACATAACACCCCAGACTTAACAATTGTCAATAAGAAAAACAAAAAAGTCTGTATAGTGGACGTGGCAGTGCCTGGAGGCAGCAGAATAGACGAGAAAGAACTAGAGAAGATCACAAAATACAAAGACCTACAAATAGAAATAGAAAGACTATGGCAAAGGCAAGCAAGGGTAGTACCAATAGTAATAGTGGGTGCAATCCCAAAACAACTGGAGCACCACTTGAACACCATTGGCATTGACAAATTCGCCATTAGTCAATTGCAAAAGGCGGCCTTACTAGGAACTGCTTCCATCCTGTGACGATATCTGTAATACCATCAAACATCCACATCTGCCTATCCGAGGTCCTTGGTATGGACTCGATAGGTAGACAAAAATGCCAAATCCAGTCTGAACATCTGGCTGACTGTGTGATGATCAATAATGATGATGGTGGTGGTGGTGAAAGGGACCTTGGAGGTCATCTAGTCCAACCGCCTGCTCAACTGCAGTGATTTACTTAACAACTGCCATGCTTAGGAATGGAAATTTTAGGCTTAATTGCAGTTGTAAGTCAAGGGCTACATGTAATGGATATGTGAACCTGGCAAAATTATACTTTTAACACTTGGAATTCATATTTTTCAATACAGTGATCCTATATGGTTAGCAAACTTTGCGAATGTGGGGGGGGGGGGAATTGAGTGGCCAAATGGTACTCTGTATTTGAGAAACTGGTTTTGCAAAACAGGGGTTTCATCTCAAAACGTATCTTGGAAATGATGTGAGTTCAATATTAGTCACAATATTCCTCATCTTATGTTTGTCTGACTTCTTTTTATCTTGCCTGATAAAGAATGCCTGGATACTGGAATTTTCTACCATAATTGACTGCATAGATGTACTACTTTGTACTGCTTTGCCTCTGTGCTTTTTGTAGCAATGCATGATGGTAGTGACATTCCTGCTAAATATGTTTGCCTTAGTCCTTAAATTCCAAACTCTCCAGGATGTTTGTTTTTCACAGGGATAATTAAATACGTCAAGGGCAATTTATGTTTCTCATTTTTTTATTTGCAAGTTCATTTTGTTCATTGTTTTACTAGTTTGGATTGCTTATTTATTTACATCCAGCCCTTATTATTTTACAAATAATTCAAGGCAGCAAACATATCCAACATAATTTCCTCCTACTATTTTGATCACAACAACAATCCTGTGAGGTGGGTAGATCTGAAAGAGAGTGATAGGTCCAAATTCACCCAGAGGGCATTCATGGCTAAGGTGAGACTTGAACTCACAGCCTCCCACTTTCTAGCCTAGCACATTTTAACCCACTTCTAACCACTTTCCTTGAAAAAACCCTCACAAAAATCCCTTACAAGTAATCCTTGATTTACAATCTTTTCATTTAGTGACCATTCGGAGTTACAATAGCATTGAAAAAAATGACTTATGACCATTTTTCACACTTACGACCATCATAGCATCCCTGTGGTCATGTGATCAAAATTCAGATGCTTGGTTTTTATGACGGTTGCAATATCCCAGGGTCAATATCCCTTTTGCAACTTTCTGACAAGCAAAGTCAATGGGGGAAGCCAGATTCACTTAACAACCGGGTTACTAACTTAATAGCTGCAGCGATTCACTTAACAACTGTGGCGAGAAAGGTCGTAAAATAGGGTAAAACTTTGTTGCTAAGCAACACGGTTGTAAAGTGCAATGTTACATGACTTCATCACTTAGTGATGACAGTTTCAGCAGTCCCAGTTGCTATCATTAAGCGAGGACTTCACATGACCAGTCAAGGTCACAGATCATGTGACTGCGGGATGCTGCCACTGCCATAATTATGAACTGGTTGCTGGGCACTCAAATTGCAGTCACAAGACTGCAGGCACACTGTGAAAACTGCAGTTTGGGAGACTGGCATAAGTTTCTTGTTCAGTGCTGTTGTAACATTCATCAGTCACCTAATAAATGGTCGTTAACTGAGAACTATCTCTTTTTTATATAAATTTTATTAATTTTCTATTTTCACAAACAAGTGCCCAATAGACAACGTGATGACTGAGTCCATTAGTGATTCCTTGGTACATATAAGCTTCTTCAAACTAAGTCCGATATTATGCCCTCCAGTACATCCTCTCTTCTGATAATAACCATTTTTCCACACTAAGCAAATACAATTCTTAGTGTTGTTAGTAAATATACAATTGCATATCAACATTTGTTACATTTTTCTAATGTCAATAATATCAGTTTAAAATATCTTTTCTAACCAAAGCATATCTTAATTGTACTGGCACTCAATTTCCATTTATTTAGTCCATATCCTATTTTCGTGTTTTTCAATTTTTAATTTCCCATCCATGTTCAAAGTATCCCAATCATTTATAATTTTGAAACAAGATATATTTGGGTAATCAAAAGCATTCCCTTATTCAAAGTTCTTAGCATATTCTTATTTCCCTTTTCATACCAAGATATGATTTTCTGATTACAAATCCTATCTAGCTAGTTATAATAATACTTCTATTTCTAACTATCTATTCTTAACCATATTCAAACATCTAATTAGTAATATAGCATCCCCTCTAAGAGGTCAAAGCTTCTGTTTCCTTCAATCTTACTCTAGCTTTCTTCCTTGGCCAACTAACTTTCCAAATCAGTGCATTTGGATCATCAGATAATTCTTCCTCTATTTTTGTATATATTATTTGAAACAAGAGAAACAATTTAATTAAGGTATTTTTGGAAGAACTAGCCCATTGATGTTCATTAAACAACTGAGGACTATCTCTGATTATTTTTCTTTCCCTTTTTTTTCAGCTGTCCATGCCGTCAATCAAAACCCAACATATCCTCCATTTCCAGAAGGAATGCAAATGGCAATATTTGGTGAGTGTTGATTTGTCCATGGCTAGGTTCAGTTACAACCCTGTCCCCACCACTTGGAAGCTACAATCCTGGATTCTAATTTTAGAGAGGAAGTAAACTTTCTGGCACCAGCAATAGAGAAATAATGTAATTGATGTATTGAAAAGATACACAAGCTTTGCTGTAACTTGCATGCCTGGCTGGCTAGGGAATTCTGAGAGTTGAAGTCCACAAACTTTAAAGTTGCTGAGGTTAGACACCGCTGACATAGAACATCTTAACAGTTCACTTATTCACTTATAGCTTTTCTTTTTTTTTTTTTTTTGGCTTCCTTCACAGGCATGGGATGTTTCTGGGGAGCAGAAAAATGTTTTGGAAGCTGTCGGGGGTCTTCTCCACACAGGTGGGATTCTCAGGAGGCTTCACCGCCAATCCTACCTACAAAGAAGTCCTCAGCGGTAAGTCTTCTTGAGAAGAATTCTGGGTGGAATCTCTTTCTCTGTGAAGTTATGTCTGATCAAAAGACTTGTACATATGAGAATCACAGTCTTAGGTATAGCTATCTTTATATCCTGAAAGAAAGGAAATAAGCTCACTTGCCTTGATTTTCTGATTTTCAACTTTATACTGGTGTGGTTGAGTGACACTGCACACTTAACTGTCAGTTTCAAACTAGGATTGTGCAGAGCTTCAGATTCAATTCCAGAAAATATGATGCTAAGCTTGTAGAAGGGGCATCACCTGCTATTTCTTAAAGCAGCTACATCTTTTAGATCAGTGGTTCTCAACCTTTTTAATGCCGCGACCCCCCAATTGGTCATAAGTCGAGGACTAAACAACCGGTCGTAAGTTGAGGACTTTCCCATGCGTGGTGCCGTCCCCTGCGCTGGCCGAGGAGTAGCTGGCAAGCGGCAGAGACGGAGCAGGCCGACCACCGGCTGGGCCACCAACTGGCCCAGCCCAAGGGAGGTAAGGCACCCGCCGGGCCCCACGCGCGCCAGCAACCCTCCCTGCACCCGCTGGCCTCTCACCTCCCACCCCTGGCCCTCTTTTACTTACATTTTTAGTAGTTGCTCAGCAGGGAGGGGTGGAAACTTCCAGACAGCTCACCTTCGCTTCAGACAACTTGCAGCATCGTTTGCAGAATGGGACTTTTGGCGGGCTCAGCAGGGCAGAGACAGCCTGGACAATTCCTATTGGCTTTTGAAAGCCAATAGAATTAGACTCTATTCAAGAGAGTCTATTCTATTGGCTTTCAAAAGCCAATAGAATAAAAGGAGTAGCACAGCTAAGGAAAAGGGGAAAAAAATGGTGGACTGCGTTGTTTGGCGACCCCCGTGAAATGGTCTTTCGACCCCAAATGGGGTCCCGACCCACAGGTTGAGAACCACTGTGACAGATAGATAGATAGATAGATAGATAGATAGATAGATAGATAGATAGATAGATAGATAGACAGACAGACAGACAGACAGACAGATAACCTTTATTGTCATTTTTTACTGTGGGCACAACGGCACACATTAAAATTGAAATTTAGTTGCTTGATTACATCATGTTGTACAAACCTAGCAGTTGCATTTGAGTAACACACAAACCATGGTTAGTGTGTAATTCCAAGCATGGTTAGTTTTAATTCTAATAGGGTTTTATGTTTGTATATAGTTTAACTTTTTGTACTGTACATATCCAACCATTGGTTCATTTAACATTTAAGGTCAGATCTTTATTCTGGGGAATTCTAGCATAATTTGGAAAATGCTAGAATGTTCCATTCCCCTTTGGACCATGATGAACCTCCAGCTAGACTGTGCAGTTCCTGGATCAGCGAGTTTTGTACCTCCTTAGAGGCAGTGTTGCTTTTTATGAACCTCAGGGAGGAACACTTGTTTCTTCTCTGGCCTTCCCCAGGCAGATGCATCTATTGGCAGAGTTAATCCTCCCTCCCCAATCTGGATCCTGCAGAAATCAGAGCAGGCAGTTTTGCAGCTTAACTGCAAAAGCATTTTAAATGTGGTGTGTGGAAGTTTATCTGTCTGAAAGAAATATTCCCCACATCTGTCATGGACATTCTGGGTATTAAGACAATATAGAGGAAGGAGGGACAATCTCTTTTGCTTGCTGACACACAAATACACTCACTCACTCACTCACTCACTTTTCTCTCCAAAATAATTAATCTGTCAAATCTGCAGATTGCACTTATATCTCCCAGTCTTTGTCTCATTTTTAGATAAATCAGGGATATACTGATTAGGGTGCTGGAAACAACAAAGTGGGGAGACAGATTTTCCCCAACAATCCTATAAGCCAACGGTCCCCAATCCCCGGTCCGCATCCCAGTACTGGTGTGTGGCCCATTAAGAACCGGGCCATGCAAGCGGCAGGCAAGCGTGTGAGCACATGAAGCTCCATTTGTGGAAGCGGCAGGTGCGCGCACAACCATCCCCTCTCCACCCCACCCCACCGCTGCTAGTCCACAGAGCCAGAAAGGTTGGGGACCACTGCTATAAGCGCTTGTGAATGGAGCATGGTACCCTTAATTATAGAGTGACCAAGCATTGTGTACATAAATGTCCTGTATGCAAGTAGTCCTTGATTTACAACCACAGCCGGGAGGAGAATTTCTGTGGTTGAGCAAGGCATTTATTAAGTCAGTCAAGCCCAATTTTACAATTTTTTTTTGCCAGAGTTGTTAAGCAAATCACTGTAGTTCTTAAATGGGCTGCATACAGGGCCCAGCACAGTAGGCATGGCTGGTTGAACATCACCTGCTCCATCCCCACCTCCTTTTTTCCTCCTAATTACCATAGGAGGGTCAGCAGCCTTGCTTGAGCAAAATTAACTAGAAACTGCTCCAGGGAAATTCATCTCTGATGAGAATTTCTAACTCCATGGGGGAATCTGGGTACAGCAATGAAAGGAGAAATTCCTCCTTTAGACAGGAGATATTAATCTAATGGGGATGTGTCAAGTGTTTCCAAGTGGGATGAAGGCTCTGGATTAACCCCTGCAGTGCTGCTTAATATGCGGTATGAATATTATCTGCTTCAAGAAGCATCCCAAGAAGTAGGTTGTGGTCTACTTGATGACATGATAGCAGTGTTCCAATATTCGAGGGGCTGCCACAAAGAAGGGGGGGCAATCTATTTTCCAAAGCACCAGGAGGAAGGAGAAGCAGCAACGGATGGAAACTAATCAAAGAGAGAAGCAACCTAAAACTAAGGAGAAATTTCCTGACAGTGAGAACAATTAACCAGAAAAACAACTTGCCTTCAGAAATTGTGGGTGCTCCATCACTGAGGCTTTTAGGAAGAGATTGGACAGTCATTTGTCTGAAATGTTAAAGGATCTCCTGCTTGAGCAGGGGGTTGGACTAGAAGACCTCCAAGGTCCCTTCCAACTCCATTATCCTGTTAAGGCATGTGGTTCATGTGGGCTTTCAAGTAACAACTGTTTGGAAGGGCAGAGCCCAACAGTACAGTGACAAGAGTCTGTATTTGCTGATATTAGTCCTGTTTTATAGATGAACTCCAACTCCCACTGAACAAGTTCACATTACAAGTAGTCCTCGACATACGGCCACAATTGAGCCCAAAATTTCTGTTGCTAAGCCAGACAGTTGTTAAGCACGTTTTGACCCATGTTACAACTTTTCTTGCCATAGTTATTAAGTGAATCACTGCAGTTGTTTAGTAACACGGTAGTTAAGTGGATCTGGCTTCCCCATTGACTTTGCTTGTCAGAACATCACAAAAGGGGATCACATGATCCCAGGACACTGCAACCTTCATAAATATGAGTCAGTTGCCAAGTGTCCGAATGTTGATCATGTGACCATGGGGATGCTTCAATGGTCATCAGTGAAAAACGGTCATAAGTCCCTTTTTTCAGTGCTGATGAAACTTTGAACAGTCAGTAAATGAACTGTTGTAAGTTGAGGACCACATTGCCTTAAATGGAAAAAAAAAATCAAGTACTTTGGGAAGAAGCAGTAAAAGAAATTACCCTCAACTTTCTACCTAGTTCTTATAGCTTCTCATGGTTCCTATAGTTTCAGTACTGGGAACTGATTTATTTAGTTAAGGAATATACAAGACCATAACTCATAAATTTGGACTCTGAATGGCAAAAGTATTCAATTTTTTAAAAAATATCAAACCATATAAATCCAATTCACCAAAGCACTGTCAGATACATAACTGAGCTGAAGCAATCATTTTCACAGTAAGATGAGCTCATGTCCCATCCAGCCCAGTGCACAGGAGAAATGCCAAGTCTTCTCAGCTCTTCTGAGGCTAATAGAATTGGGGCCACTCACACTTGGGGACCAGTATTCTCGTGGCTAAGCCAGCCATTTGTTAAGGGAGACACACCTGATTATATGACTTTTTTGCCACAGTTGTGAAGCAAATCATAAGAGCTCTTAAGTGAATCATGCAGTCATTAAGCAAATCCGGCTTCCCCCATTGACTTTGTTTGTCAGAAGCCAGCTGGGAAGTTGCAAGTGGCAATCACATGTCCCTGGAAAGCTGCAATCCTCATAAATACATACCAGTTGTCCAATATCTGGATTTTGATCACAGGGCCATAGAGCTGCAGCGATGGTTGTGAGTGCAAGAACCGGTTGCAAGTCTCTTTTTGCAGTGCTGTTGGAAATTCTGATGGTTGCTAAATAAATGTTTGAAGGTCAAGGATTCCCCTGTATGTTACTTTTGTAGCACAAAGTATAATTTGCAAGACAGAAGGCTCAGCAGCATCAATTTAGCCTAATGACTGGGTGAATTTCCATTGGTTGCAACAACTGACAAGACTCAAAGAAAGCCTGGGGTGATTTTTCTCCATTCTGTTTCCAGGGATGACAGGACATGCGGAAGTGGTCCGTGTAGTGTTTGATCCACAGAAAATCAGCTATGAAAAACTCCTCCAATTTTTCTGGGAGAACCATGATCCAACCCAAGGTAAAAATCTAGGGTCAGGAAAGGTGCAATGTGGGAAACCAATCTATTTACCTTGATTAATTATAAGCAGTATAAGCAATACTCTAGCAAATCAAGAGGAATTACATTTGGAAGCAATCCTAAGACAGCTTTGCTGTGTGGATGCCACTTCCAGAAGTCCATTCTGGACCTGGGCAACAAAAAAATTAGCCAGCGGTTCTGCCAAAATCCCAGCACTCTACGATACCTTGCAGCATTTTGGACTATGGCCCCCTCTCATTCTTCCACCAGCAGGGCCAATTATGGAAGATTGTAATTTATAGAAGCTTGGACTATCAACAGCCATAGTGGCTGGGAAGAAAGAGAGTAGTAGACGGTTTTATAGGAAGCAAGACTGGGCTGATTTTGTAAGAATCTAAGTTGACAATCGTTATTATAACAGTGCACTGAAGAAGGACGAACATAATTTAGTATGTGATCAGTGTGTGTGTCTGTTCGCATACAATAGTCCATTCTTGCCCTCTTTTCATATCTGATTCTATGATTGTATATTAATAGGATCCTAATATTATATTTTTAGATACTTAAGGATTGACCAACACTGTTATACCCGGATCGATCAAAGGCCTGTTTAATTTAAGCTTGGACAATTGATGGGTCTAAGTCCACATTCTGAAAAGAATCCTCTTGTGGAAGGAATCCTCTTCCTTCCAACTTCACCAGTAAATTTTCAGTAGCACAGTTGCTGAAAATTAACATGTGAAATACATACCACACACCCCAAAATATTGAACTGCAGTTGTAAAAACCAGATTCAATCCTAATAATCAAGATGGTCCTCCTGATAAAAAGGGATTTCTTGTTCCACCTGCATGCAAAATATGCTAAATTGAGCTAGATCATGGGCTAAGAATGAGAAGCTTTAGAGATGAAAGATTGCTTGCCTCTGGTTAATCTGAAACTCTGTAATGCAACAAAGACACAGTTCTACAGATATGCAATACCTGAATGGAAAGCTGCTTGGAGTATTTTGAATACAGGTAATCCTGACTCATGACCACAATTCAGCCCAAAATTTTAAGTGAGTTTTGCCCGACTTTACAACCTTTGTTGCCCTAGTTGTTAAGTGAATCACTGCAGTTGTTAAGTTAGTAGCATGGTTGTTAAGTGAATCTGGCTTCCCCCATTGATTTTGCTTCTCTGAGGGTCGCAAAAGGTGATCCCATGATCCTGGGACACTGCAACTGTCATAAATATGAGCCACTTGCCAAGTTTCTAAATTTTGATCACGTAACCGTGAGAGGATGCCACGTGTCGTAAGTGTGAAAAATCGTCATAAGTTGCTTTTTTCAATGTTGTTACAGTATTGTCACTAAATGAATTGTTGTAAGTTGAGGACTCCCTGAGCTCATTGAGTTGGGTTAATCTTCTTCATGCCATTTTTTTTTCATTTGATTGCTGAGTCATTTGAGGGTTCTAGCCAAAGAATACTTAATTTCTCCAGCCTGACTCACTCCAGACTCCTGAGGCAGAGATTTTCTCTTAAGGAATCAAATGCCCCTCTTGATTTTGTAAGCCACTCTCATTTTTCAGGCGACTGTACCTCTTTAAATGATTCCTTTAAATGGCTTCTCCTACCTCCCCACCAAGGCCACAAAAGGTGAAGCTCTTAAGGGACCCTCTGCTGAGACAGGAGAGGTTCAGTTGTAAAGAAGTGGGGCTGGGGATTTCTAATGTTTCTCCCCCCCCCTTTTTTTTAATAACTAGAGGAAGTGGAGGGCTGTTTGTAACCCACCTCACGTCAACACTGAGCAACAGTGGGGGGAGGGTTGAAGGCCTTAGGAAGACCAAGCATTTTTGTAATGAAGTGTAATTTTAATGAGGAAATTAGAATTCTCTGTGTGTTGCCGGCTGGGCCCTCCTCTGGGTGCGTAATGGTGTGTTTGTGTTTTAATGAGTAACGTTGTCAGTGTAGATGGCATATTAGGGAGTGAGCACGTGGGGAGAGAAGAATTCTGCCCCCCACAGTCATTATGTGTTAGATTTCAAAAGAAGATGCCTTATGGCTGAGGAGCATTGCTGACTGCTCTCCCCTAGTGACATTGTCAGATACAAAAGAAAGAGATAACATTTCCTTGAAGTCAAGCTTGACACCTGGTGACTTACATGGCCACATGTAAGTCACATGCAATTTTTCTGCAGTAACAAGGAAATGGGTCACCACTGCCTTCTCCTGAGCTTTTTCTTTTACATTGGGATTGTCTAGCCCAGGGGTAGGCAACCTTGGCTCTTTTATGACTCATGGACTTCAAGCTGGCTCAGGAATTCTGGGAGTTGAAGTCCACGAGTCATAAAAGAGCCAAGGTTGCCTACCCCTGGGCTAGCCTACAGTCCTAGGGTTTCGTAGTGCTCTCCCATTTCTGATGGTCTCTCATTCCTATTCAACCTTGTGTAGCTTTTTGAGGTCCAAGGTTGTGTAACCTTAGCTTTAAGCTCATGTGGAGCAATTGACCTAATTTCAAAGGACCTTTATAGAACATAGATTCAAAGAGCTGCAAGGGACCTGGGAGGTCTTCTAGTCCAACCTCCTGCTCAAGGCAGGAATCTTATCCCATCCCAATCAAAGTCTAGTCTATTTTTGAAAACCTCCAGCACCCATAGCCCCAGGAGGCAAACTATTCCACCAGTTAATTGTTCTCGCTGTCATAAAATTTCTCCTTACTTCATTGGATACGCTGGATATGTTGGATCTTTTTTAACAAGTTGTTTCTTGTCCTGCCCTCTGGTGCTTTGGAGAATAAGTCAATCCCCTCTTCTCTGTGACAACCCTTGACAAGTCCTGGAAGACTGCTATCATTTCCCCCCTTATTCCCTCTCTTCAATAGGCTAGACATACCTAGCTCCCACAACTATTCATCATCCATTTAGCCTCCAGACCTTTTATCATCTTTCTTGCTCTTCTCTGCACACTTTCCAGGATCTCAACATCTTTTTTGTATTGTGGTGACCAGAACTGAATGTGATATTCCTTAAGTGTGGTTTTACCAGTGCGGTATAAAGCAGTGCTATCACTTCTAATGATCTTGATGTTATCCCTCTGTTGATGCAGCCCAGGACTGCATTGGCTTTTTTGGCAGCTGCAGCACATACTCAAGTGGTGGTCCTCCTTCCCTCCCCCCCTCTCTCTTATCCAGCTTCTTGAGAAGGAAAATGAGAAACCCCTCACCCACTTATGGCTCTATCCCTGTCCACTTCTCCAGCCATACCACTATTGGCAGGCAGTGCTGTCCTTCTTACTAAGACCCCCTCTTCAGGAGGCTTTTTTCTTTCCTGCCCTCAAATCGAGATTAAGATTTAAGACTCTTCCACTGAGAGTAAAGGGCTTTTTGGCTACAGTGCTCTGTCTGAGGATGGACCATCAGGGCTTATGGGTGAAGGATGCTCTTCTCTTGCATTATAACCGGGGTCTTCAATCTTGGCCCTTTTATGACTTATGGACTTCAACTCCCAGAATTCCTCAGCCAGCATGCCTGGCTGAGGAATTCTGGAAGTATTAGAGTGACTCGCACTTTACAGGTAGTCCTCGACTTAGGACCACAATTGAGCCCAACATTTCCACTGCTAAGCGAAACAGTTGTTAAATGAGTTTTGCCCCATTTTACAACCTTTCTTGCCACAGTTGTTAAGTGAATCACTGCCGTTCTTAAATTAGTCACAGGGCTGTTAAGTGAATCTGGCTCCCCCATTAACTTTGCTTGTCAGAAGGTCGCAAATGATGATCACATGACCTCGGGACACTTCATCTGTTATAAATATGAGTCAGTTGCTAAGTGTCTGAATTTGGATCAGCTAACTATGGGGATGCTGCAATGGTTGTAAGTGTGAAAAATAGTCATAAATTACTTTTTTCAATGCCGTTGTAACTTCAAAGGGTCATTAAATGAATAGTTGTAAATTGAGGACTACCTTTATTTGCTCTTGAAGGAAAAGGTTTTGCATGTTATTACAGAGACTGATTCCCTGTTAGATGTTCATCTTTAGCAGCTAAAACAGTGAAGTCCTGTGGTATCTTATTATTGGGAAACAAATTTTGGATCAGGGTTCATCAAATTCAAGAGTGGATTGATCCTGAATGTGTTCATTTGTAAATGTCATCGGATATCTTTTGTCTCTGATATTTAATACTTGGAGAAAACCTGGAATTTTTTTGCTGAAGTCATACTTATCTAGCAGATACATGAACTCTGTATGTTGTTCTGAGTTTCGTGGTCATTGATATTTTCCCAGGAAGGAAATATTGGATATGAATATCAAAATCAAATTAGTGAAATTAGATAGATGATCTTTGAAATCTAGTCACTAAATTTGGGAGGAACTTCAGAATAAAAAAAAGTTACTTTCTATTAAATCAGACCACTGATCTATCTAGCACCACATTTTCTGTGTTTCCATTAATGAAATAGATAAAATGGGAATACTCAAGAATAACACCTTTTCTCCTGCGACTGTTTATTATTAAGGTTGAAGTGGGAAGAAGAAGATTCAGCAATATGAATCAATTTGGTCATCTTTTGTCTAATAACATGCATTGTTGTGGCCTCATTTTTTTTTCCAGGAATGAAACAATATGAAGACATTGGCACCCAGTATCGCTCGGCCATCTACGCTATCGGAACAGAACAATTGGTATCTGCTTTAAGATCCAAGGCAATGTATCAACAGGTATAGGAGAATTGTGGATAGATGGGGCAGGAAATTGAGGCCTTGGACTAGGGTGCTGTTGTTTATATGATTAAGGTTGACTCTTATTGGCATTAACTTTGTAAGGCGTAGGTTCCTATCTATGAATTCCCATTTAAATGTAAAGGTTTCCCCTGTTCAGTTGAATCTGATTCTAGGGGGTGGTGCTCATCTCCATTTCTTAGCCAAGAGAGCCAGCCTTGTCCAAAGACGTTTCCGTGGTCATGTGGCCAGCATGACTATACACCAAGGCACACGGAATGCTGTTACCTTCCCACCAAAGTGATACCTATTTATCTACTCACATTTGCATGCTTTCAAACTGCTAGGTGGCCAGGAGCTGAGGCAAGTAACAGGAACTCACCCCCATCACGCATCACTTGGGTCTCAAACTCGGTTGTCAACTGTCTAGCTCAGGGGTCTTCAAACTTGGCACTTTTATGTGGACTTCAGCTCCCAGAATTCCTCAGCTAGCATGCCTGGTCTAGCTGATAAGCTCAGCATCTTTAACTGCTGAGCCATCGCGCCCCCTGGCTTCCCATTTTAATGCTCTTATTTGGAGATGTCACAACTGAAACCTGGGACTTTATCCATGTAAAATGTATGCTGTACAACTGGTTGTATTTCCATTAGGAAAATCTAATATAAGTTATTCCTAAACCTGAAGTTTATTCATGAGACTGATTGTTAGAGTTTAAGAGCTAAACTATTCAGTTGTGGTGACTATCTTCTCATCACACAGCTGACCCGGTTAGCAACTCTTCTGCAAAAAATAACTTCATGGATGCATGATCACAGCTGTCCCAAGCAAATGGAAAATCTTTGTTAGGATCCCAGCTGCCACAGCATTTTAACTGTCAGGGTTACACATTTACAAAGGTCAGCAGCAGCCAGAATGGTAGGGATAAAAAGTAATCGTAGAGGCAGGATTCCTAAAAAAAAAAAAAAAAGCCTCATTTTTTCAGGATTGCTCTGAATCTCCATTTCTCTGTCAGCAGGAAGAAGGGAGGGTTAACTCTCTCTTCCATGTTTGTCCAACATGGTTGACCAGGGAAGAGTAGCTTAATTTAAAACAATAAAGAGCTATTCCAGGCTAAAACTGAACCCCTAGAGCCCATGGTTAAGCAGGTTATAGGTTGGCATAACATATCAATTCTGCTCATATCCCAGTTAAATATAAATATAACTAGTTTTCCCCCTGAAATACATAGATTTATTTTTAATCAGTTTGTTTCTCTTTATGTTTGTGTTTGAGTCAATATTTACTCAAGTCTGTGCAATTTTCTTAGTGACATTTCTTGGAAATAGTCTTCCTAAGGGCCGAGAGGGAGGGATTGGTTCAAAGCCATCCAGCTGGCTTGGGTGCCTAAGGGAGGACTATAACTCACAGACTCCCAGTTTTTAGCCTGGTGCTTTTAGCCAATGCACCAAACTGGTTCACTGCTGAATTGTTTGGATGTTAAGAAGTTTTTATAAGAGCCAAGTCAAAACCTCTTTCTTCTTCATTTCCCATGGGACTTGAATTCAATGCTCTGGAGTCTTGTTAGAAGAAGACAATCCTTCAGATATTTTCGCTACCATGTTGCCTCTTAATAATCTCTTTTTAAGGCTAAACGTATCTTAATGCCTTCAGCTTTTTTGTAGGAGCTCATTAACTAACAGAGGTTTGGAATGGCAGTCTAATTATGCCAGGAAGGTATTGTTCCTTGCAAGCCATGTTTTCAGACAAGTTTCATTTTTACAGGAGCTGCTACTTATGCTTTAAGAAAATAATATAGCTCTTAATCTCTAATGCCCTAAAGTGCTCTGGACTCAGGGCCAATCTTGTCTGCCAAGCTGTCTAGGACTGTAATTTTCCTAATACGCAGATGCTGGTTTTTATATATATATATATATATATATGTTTTCTGAGGTTTTCGCGGGTATTTGTATATAGGTCTTTGGTTGTTCGGGTTTTCTCCCGCGTAAAATTGGAAGTGTCTTGGCAACGTTTCGACGAAGTCACATTCGTCATCTTCAGGCTGGTGTTTTTAGCTTCTTGCTTTGAGCAGCAATGTGTGGTTTTAGCTGTTTCTTCCTTTTAACTGCCAGTGAGGGTATGAACTGATTGGATGGGAGCTTGGCTGTGTTCTGATTGGGTGGAGGTGTGTTCTGAATGGTTAGGGGCTTGGCTGTGCTCTGATATATTTATAATTTATTTATATTTATATATATATTTAGGTTTTTGCTAACAAAGAATAAAGAGAGAATGGTATAGCTATTTCGAGTTCCTTTAACTCTCATCAGCCAAACTTACTCTTCTGGGATTCGAACCTGGGCTATCTGCATGTTAGGCAGATGTTATAACCTCTAAGCCACGGGTTCTCTCCCACTCTGTTAGCTATCAGGAGAGAGACAGGGGGAGGAGATTTTTACCTTGAATGAACACCCTGTCAGCCCAAATATGGGAGAAAGAAATCTTCTTTCTTTTCTTTTCTTTTGCCTGTATCAGCTCAATCTAGAGCCATCCACAAGCAGCAGTCACTAACTGTGACATCATTTTACATTTTTAGGTTTTTGCTAACAAAGAATAAAGAGAGAATGGTATAGCTATTTCGAGTTCCTTTAACTCTCATCAGCCAAACTTACTCTTCTGGGATTCGAACCTGGGCTATCTGCATGTTAGGCAGATGTTATAACCTCTTAAGCCACGGGTTCTCTCCCACTCTGTTAGCTATCAGGAGAGAGACAGGGGGAGGAGATTATTACCTTGAATGAACACCCTGTCAGCCCAAATATGGGAGAAAGAAATCTTCTTTCTTTTCTTTTCTATATATATACCAGCATCTGCGTATTAGGAAAATATATATATAGTCAGGTTCCATAGGCCAAACAAAATACAAACAGTTCTCATCTTACAATCATTCATTTAGAGATTGTTCCAAGTTACAACAGCACTGAAAAAAGCCACTTATGACTGGTCCTCGTACTTATGACTATTACAGCATACCCATTGTCACATGACCAAAATTCAGGCATTTGGCAACCAACATGTATCGGTGGCTATGGTGGTGCAGTGGTTAGAATGCAGTATTGCAGACTAACTCTGCCGGCTGCCAGGTGTTCGATCCTGACCAGCTCAAGGTTGACACAGCTTCCCATCCTTCCAAGGTCAGTAAAATGAGGACCCAGTTTGTTCGGGGGTAATACGCTGACTCTGTAAACCACTTAGAGAGGGCTATAAAGCAGTATATAAGTCTAAGTGCTATTGCTATATATTTATGAGGGTTGCAGCATCTGGGTGTCATGTGGTTGCCACTTATAACCTTTCTAGCTGGCTTCTGACAATCAAAGTCAATGCGAGAAGCTGGATTCACTTAATGGCCATGTGTGAGTCACTTAACAGCTGCAGTGATTCACTTAACAACCATGGCAAAAAAAGGTAAAATCAGGCGTGACTCGTTTTGCAACTGTCTTGCTTAGCAGTGGAAATTCTGTTCCAGTCGTGATTGTAAGATGTATTTATGTGAGGGATCACAATATCCAAAGAACATCTGCCCTGCCCCCCCCCCCACGCTCCTATAGGCAGGGCATGCTCTAGGTTCCTTGTTTTAAATCTTGCCATCTTATAGGACCTAGGAAGGGTGTCTTTTCTAGGGTTGCCCCTGTTCTCTGGGACAGTCTCCCTTCTGGTAAAATAGATGACAGGCCTCAACTATTCTCATCTTTAAGAACTCCATTAGGACCGGATTCTTCCCCCAGGACTCGGGATCTGATTTAGTAGGAGTATCCTGGTGATTGTTTTCTTATGTACCTGGTTGTCGTAATAGGTTAGATATTTTTATTGGCAAGCAAAGCCCTGATAAAAGGCTTTATTTCAAATGTTAACTTTAGAATCAATGAAGAACAGGGACTTTTCTGTAGTGGCCCCTGAATACTGGAATATACCAAAAGCCAGGCCTATGGAAATCCACTGGCAGTATATTTTACAGTGATGGACACTAGTTCTCTAAGGGGACTGAGGCCAAATTCTTGGAAGCTTCTAACCATGACGTCTTTCTAAAATTTCCATCTTATTGATGGCAGGATTAAGAGGAAATATTGCCTCTGAAGAGTAGTAGAAAGAAAGATCTATTCTGCGGAAACATTTGATGTAGAAAATGGAATATTGTCTTAGATCAGAAGTGGGCTAAAGGCCACATTTGGATTCACTTGGGTCTACCAATACTGTAGCCCAGAGGTCCCCAACCCCCAGTCCGTGGACTGGCACCAGGCTGCGGCATGCCAGAAACCGGTCTGCGCAAACAAGCAAAGCCCCATCCACGGGATGCAGGCAGTACATGAAACCAGGCCCCCTCCGGCCCGCGGAAAAACCTCTCTCCATGGAACCGGTCCCTGGTGCCCAAAAGGTTGGGGACCTCTGTTATAGCCGCCTTTCAAGAATTACTGGCTGGAATCAGAGCAAATAAAGCTGCATATGGCTTTCTTTCCAGTTTCAGTTTAAGAACTACAGGTAGTCCTCAACTTACCACCACAATTGAGCCCAACATTTCTGTTGTTAAATAAGACATCTGTTAAGTGAGTTTTGCCCCATTTAAAACCTTTCTTGCCACAGTTGTTAAGTGAATCACTGAAGTTGATAAGTTAGTAACTAGGGTTATTAAGTGAATCTGGGTTCCTTGTAGACTTTGCTTGTCAAAGGTTGCAAAAGGTGATCACATGATCTTTTGACACAGCAACAGTCATAAGTATGAGTCAGTTGCCAAGCATCTGAACTTTGATCACGTGATCATGGAGATGCTACAAAGGTCATAAGTGTGAAAAGCAATCATAAGTCACTTTTTTCAATGCTGTTGTAACTTTGAATGGTCACTAAATGAACTGCTGTAAATCGAGGACTATCTGTATAGTGAAGATGATTGTTTATCAGTTCCAAATTCATCCTGTGTCATGTAAAAAACTAATAATATTGATAACAATTGCTAAAGCCTTCCGGCTGGGAGTTATATTGGTCCATGATTTTCCACACTGCACTTGCCTGACAGATGTTTGGGTAGATCTAATACAGCTGTTTTTCCACAATTATATACAAAATGTTCTCTATCAAGATGTCTGCTGGTCACCATCCTTGGCAGCTCAACCCTTTTCAGCAGCTTCCTGAAAAACCGTGGGGCTTTCAGTCCCTCTCTCCCCTCATTGTGTTCTTTTTACACAATGTGGTTGTTTATGTGTACAATCTGTTTTGGAAACATGTTTAGAAAGACCCTTGAGGTATCACTTAAATAAACAGTCTACAGGAAGATGCTGAGTCTTTCCAGCATCCGATTCATGATGGAACTGATTGGGATCTGTTTTTCTTTCTCTCTCATTTGCGCTCTCTCTCTCTCACTCACTCTCTCTCTCTCTCTCTCTCTCTCACACACACACACACACACACACACACACACACAGACTCTGAAGAGGCTCTTTTTTGTTTTGGCCTCCTTCAGTGAATAGAACCTGCCCCCAATGCCTTGCCCCATAACAAAGGCAGAGAGGCGAATATAGATAATTGCTCCTCCAAGGCCATTCATGTACTCTGGATGAAAAAAGAAGGGGGGGGGAGATGTCTCAGTTTCCCTGGCAACTTGCCACGATGATGATTGGCAGCTAGAGAGCAAAGGTCACGGGAGAGGCAGGTGCAATATCTCCCCTCTGCCTGGGCCCATTTTGAAATGATTCATTGCCATCAGCAGTTGCCCCCTCCCCCAAGTAGGACAATTAAGGGCAACTCCCGCTTAAAATTGGCACGTGCTGGGCGGACATCAATGTGTGTGAGTGGGGGGGGGGAAAGATGGGTATTTCTTGGGAGCTGGCAGTCTGTGGGCAGGGAGCTGTGTGTTGTGTGTTTCCAAGCTGCTAAAAAGGTTGAGATTAAGGGAACTGGGGCAGTTTCGAAAGGTCTCCTCCTTCCTGGAGGAAGACCCCAAGGTAGCTCAGGAGGGCAGAGTCATCCCAAAGATGCCAACATTGCTGGGTCTTTATGATGGGGGGGACGGTGGTAGGGTGAGGTGCGGAGGGCCAGCAGAGCAGCCTTTTTTGTAGCTAGAGTTTGTGTTTTCTTTATTGTTTCTTGGCAACTGCAAAAGGCAAGCAGGAATGTGTTGAAGGAGCAGGGATGAAACACCTTTCATCCTGAACAACTCCGAAGTTGGGCATGTTTCGACTACCAGAGGCGTTGCCACTTTGATTTGGTTGCTTGTTCTGGTTTTTAAGTAGAATTAAGTAAAAACAGGCAGCTGAAAATTGCTATTTGGTTGGTACCATCTGGGGAAGGGTAAGGAAGGTTGGGCAGAGAGTGACTGGCCCAAAGTCACCAGCTTTCATGCCTAAGGCTGTTCTAGAACTCACAAGTCTCCTTGTGATTGGCCCAAAGTTACCCAGTCAGCTTTCATTGCTTTAAAGTAGAATTTGACCTCATGGTTTCCTGCTTTCTATCCTGGTGCCTTCACCACTAGACCAAACTGGCTTTTTGCTTTACCCAGCACCCCAAAAGATGAGCGTGATAAAGATGGATGAAGTGGCTCATTGTGGCACCATTGTACTAGCCAAAAGAGGCAGTCCTGCAAAGGAAATCAAAATATAAGAAAGGAAGTATACATCAGATTGCCCAACTAATTTAAGACATGAACAGAGAACTAGCAAACCCATTTTCTGGATTCACACAATACATTGAAGTATTCATTAACCAAACAGAGTAAGGCCACAGATGACATTAAGCTACAAAAGCATGAACCAAGCTTAAAACTATGTGGACGTAACCTAGCGTTTACTGACCGGATGCCCTTCCTGATGCCTATGCTTTGTTCACAGCAGATATTTTCTCTTTGCGCCCTAATAGAGAAACGTTTGTTGCTGCCTAAGATTGACCTCTCAGTCTTGAACTTCTGAACGGGAGGCAAGCGTCTTCACCTCTAGGCCACCGTGCAACTAAGGCAGGGGTCTTCAAACTTGGCCCATTTATGATTTGTGGACTTCAACTGGCTGAGGAATTCTGGGAGTTGAAGTTCACAAGTCATAAAAGGGCCAAGTTTGAAGACCCCTGCACTAAGGGGACAGATAGAATACTATTCAAAATTGAAAGCCTAGATACAAAATAGTCCTCTACTCACAGCCATTCCTTCAATGACCGTTCCGAGTCACTGAAAAAAGTGATTTATGAACAGTTTTCACACTTTTGACTGTTACAGCATCCTCACAGTGATGTGACCATACTTGGGGTGCTTGATAAAAACCGGCATGTATTTATGATGATTGCAGCATCCCAGGATCCTGGAATTGTGCTTTGCAATCTTCCTGGGGAGTTTCTGATAAGCAAAGTCAATGGGGGAAGCCAGATTCACTAAATGACCACATGATTTGATTAACAACTTCAGTGATTCGCTTTACAACCAAGGCAAAAGGGTCAGCCAATGGGGCACAACCCACTTAACAACTATCTTGCTTAGAAACAGAAATTTTGGGTTCGATTGTGGTCATAAGTCGAGGACTACCTGCATAAATAATTCTGCTTTTTCGGTTGATATCAGACTTCTGTTATTTAAATGGCACAAAGTTACTCAATCTGTTTTCTACTAATATGGTTTTATATTATTTTATATCACTATCTTTTTATTACAAATAGTCCTCAACTTATGACCCACAACTAAGACAAGGATTTCTATTGCTAAGTGATGCAGTTGTTAAATGAGTCTTCACATGACCACACACATTTTCTGCCATGGTTGTTAAGCGAATCATGTGATTGTTAAGCAAATCCAGCTTCCTCCAATGACTTTGTTGTCAAAGGCTGGTTGGGAAAGTTATAAACGTTGATCACATAACACTGGGATTCAGCAACTGTTTTAAGTACATGCCAGTTGCCAAGCACCCGAATTGTGATCATGTGACCACAGGGATGCTGTGATGGATGTTAAGCGCAAGGACCGGTCAAAAGTCACCCTTTTTAGCACTATTGTGCCCTCAAACAGTTACTAAATTGTTATAAATTGAGGACCATCAAAATATACAGTAAAAATAATTGAGCAGCAGACTGAATTTTCGTCCTGATTTCCAGGCATTTTTTATTTTATTTTTTTTGCAACATGAAATTGATCCAACTCCTATCCTACCTTGGTGAGATAGCAGGGTTGAAGCTTCCAAGAAGAAAGCCCAATTCCCAACATCATCCATTTTTTCAGGGCAGGAGGAAATGAAGAGAAATATTGATCAGGAAAGGCCTAGGAAGTGTCCTGGGGTGACTCATTGACAGAAACCTTACTTCTTATCAATGATTGACTTAAAAGGTCCAAAACCACATCTGCACATCATGTCCGAAGATAAAACTGCTCTAGTGGGAACAGAGCTCTATAGGCTTGAGAAATTGAGTGGGGAGGTCTTCTCCAAGAGGTTCGTTCAAGAGAGAGGAAGCTGTCATGAATAACAAAGAAGAAATTATATTAGAGCATTGGTGATCTGACTGAAAAAGGGTTAAACAAATCTATGACTTGAGAACATCTAGTGTTAAGGACAACTTAAAAATGTTTTGCCAAAGGAAATATAATAAATGATATAAGTAGACTTACAAAGCAGTTGTATGTCTGGCTTGTTTGTCAGTTGGTGATATTAATACATTTGAACCCATAAGGCTGGACCATTTGGCATTTTGCACTGCTCCTCTGGGATCTGATTTACAACTTCCAGCATTCCACACCTGTGGCATTGCTGGCTGAGGCTGCTAGAACTGGGCGTTCAGTAGGATCTGGAGTGCCCCAGGTAATTCACCCTTAATTGCCAAGACAGACTCTGCGGAACTAAAGGCTAACTTTATTCCAGGGAAACTGTTAGCACTTTCCTATGCCTTTCAAGCCTGAGGCTATAGTTTTCTCTTCATATGAAAGCTCAGGTTCAGGTTTTTGCATAGTCCCTGTAATTTTCCAGCTATGCAGAAAAGATTAGAAGATCTTTAAATCAACACACTAGCAAGATCGGGTGGTATTGAAGAACTGCTGGCTTTCCTTTGGACAGGTGCTGGAACAACAAGTCTTAGAATTAGTTCAATCATGATTATCTGTCCTGAGCTGTCCATGGTTCTGAAAATGCCTACTGTACCTGAGAACAGACCAGCTTTGTCTCTCATAGCATCTGACTTTAAGGACAGAATTAAAACCGGAATAAGGCTTGTTAAAGCAGAGATGTGGCAGAGTTATTTCTAGGAGGACAAGATTTAGTTTCATTCTGGACACAGATCTAAGCTAAATAAAATGTTTATAGCTAGTCTAACTTTTGCTGAATGTTCCTCCTTTGATGGCAACACCTCCCACCTTAGTGCCACTGCTGTGCCACTAAGTATTCCCTAGTATGCTTTTTGGGAACAGAGGCTTTGGGGAAAGAGAGAGAATGTTTTCATGTATTTGTTATGCAGAATAGGACTCTGTTTCTTCAGCTGCATCACATAAACATGAGGTTTTAGTATCTGCTTGGAAAATCAGATAATGCACAAACCAGTTTTTTGATTTTGCAATGTCAAATGTGAGATTCGCCAGGTGTTCAGCAATGTTCCTGCTTGTACTGCTTCAGGCTATATTATTATTTGATTTGTACATTGGTTGTACAAATTGTACAGTCTAACAAAGTACCAAATTAACACACTCTCTCTCACCACCCCATTTCATTGAGATTGACTCCATAGCCAAATTCCTTGATGGCAGTGAATGATGGGTTGTGTAGCCCAATTAGCTGAGGACTGTGGATGTTGGATGCTGTAGCCCATCTCCTTATCTAGAGTGCCAGTTTATCTTTTGAAAAAACAATGTTGGCAATGAACCTTAGCCAACATGGCAACCATCTTGAAAATATTCACCTTGTAAGCCACTCACAGTTGCCTTGAATTGTGAGATGGGCAGGCATATAAATCAATCAAACAAACAAATATTCAAGCCCCTCAGCATAGTAGCCATTTATGAGCACTAACAAAATGTTCTCAAGATCCTAGGTGGATTATCAGCCCCTACTGATAATAAGTTATAAGCCTGCAACAATCTTAGCTGTTCTTTCATGCAGAGTTTCCCTTTTGCTTCTGCCAATAAAATTCAACATCTGCACAGTAGATGAGCTGCATTTAGTGACCATGGCAAGAATGTACCTGTGTCCCAGAATACTGCTGTCCATCAGGGGAGGGGAAGGAGAAGGGGTGTTCATGATGGGACATCATAACGGAGATCAGACTCTGGCTGTTTGGGAGATTTTGACAGACAGATCACATCAGTCTTCTCTGACAGGTTTCCTTCTAGTAGCCATTAAACATGCTGAGATATTCCCCACCAGGGAGGGGAAAAAATCGATAGCTCCTGTCCACATCCCAGAGGAGAGGAAGACAGCATGCTGCTTCTAGGAGCAATCTGTTATTTATATATTCTGTTCCTCAGTATGGTTAAATACCAAGCCTTGGTCTCTGCTCCTTACTCCCTGCAGAGGCCCCTAGAGCTTTGCACATCCCATCCTCTGGATGTGGCAGAAAGAAATAGCATAGCATTTATTGATCACTCCAAGGGCGACAGACCTCCTGTTTGTCCAGATCCATCTGGGATCCTGTTTCCGTAGTTCAGAAACAATGAGCTTTTCCTCCAGGGAGGTGTTTCCCTCTTTCCCTCCTTGCTGGGATTTTTGCAGGTAAGGGAGAAGACTAAAACCAAAGCATTATTTTTAAACAATTGCATTTGGTGTTCAAATGTTAAGGCAGGGCCCTTATTTCCAATTTGCATTCCCGGGATCTGAAGTTTGAAGCCACCTTTGAGTTGTAATTCTGAGGCTATTAGGAAAATAGGCTTCTGATTCTGTCTCTTATTCTTCCTGGCCTGTACAGATTCAGCTAGATGTCTGAAGGGCAGCTAGAAAGGTCAGGGATGAATTTAGAGGTGGACACTTTACTATGGAATCTCTCCATCCATCCATTCATCCCATTCCAAAAGTTGCAAATTGGAATTGTAGATCTGCTCCACTGATCAGCTAGGAGAGCTACTATATCTTCTGGGCAGGGACAGTGGAGAGAAGATTCCTTAGAGCTTCAGGATAAAGGGTCCAAGGTGGAGGAGACATTTGCTTTTCTTGTGAGCCCTACCCAATTCTTCCCTGCCACTGGAAAATATTTGAGGAGAACATATATGGGTGTTCAGCATTGGTGCTGAGTAGGCACTCACTATAGCCTGGAAGTAGGACAAGAAAAGACTTTCCTTGGGACACTTTTCCTCACCCTGCAACCCTCCAAATGGGTGGAAATGCTATTTCCATCATCTTCTGCAACTTTGCTTCCTTAGGATGGTTTTAGGGGAGACTGGCTGAACCCTCCCATCTTCTCAGCTTGAATGGGCTGAGAGACAAAGTTGAGGCATGCTGGCTGAGGAATTCTAGGAGTTGAAGTCCACAAGTCATAAAAGGGCCATGTTTGAAGACCCCTGCTCTAACCCAACTGTATTAGAAAGCAGTCTCAGAACCCCTTTATAAATACAGTGGTACCTTGGCAGCTGAACTGCTTTGAAACTCATTGAATTTGGTATGCAACACATTTTGACCCAAAACGTTTGCCCCGGTACTCATTGTTTGTTTGGCACTCAATGCACAAGCTTGGACTTGTCGATGTTGGCAGCCTTGTGACTCACTACATTATTCCTTATGGGAAAAATTTATTCGGTACTCATCATTTTTGGTACCTCCCAGAACCAAGTAATGTTAAATACCGAGATGTCACTGTATAAAGAATGTGTGCATTCTGGCGATATTCTCATAAGAATATCATATCCTCATATATGAACCTAGAAAGTTAATTTTAATCTTGCTTGTTTATTTGTTTTTTTCAGGGTATTATATATGTACTATTAATGTCCAATATCCAGTATTAACTGTCTGTTTTTGAAATTGTGGTGGATATATATGTGTGTGTGTTTACTTAAATAAGCAGAAATACGGTATTTTCTACAAAACAGGGTTGGAATCCTACACAGTATCTTCAAAAGCAAGAAAAGGACATAAAATTGAGTAACAAAACATTGATGAAATACAAGAGGGCCTAACTTAGAGACATCTAAAAATACTTGGTTTACTTGGAAGATATCAAAGGTTCAGGTCCCCTGCTTGAGTTATTTAGAGAAAATGCTTATGAGAGCCAATCCCATTACCTTCTGATCATGATTTGGATATTGACTGTTCCTCTTGAATTAGAACCAATGAAAATTCCTAGGAGTGCCGCTTCGATCATTGCAAAATTTCTCAGATAGTTTAAGAAGCAGAAGGATGTTGTGTGAAAGCAGCCATTTACTCTCCATTAGAAGCCCCAGCAAGTCCTCTTTCTTTCTTCTTTCTCTCCTTCCCTCGATGCAAAGCTGACTTCCACTGCTCTTTTCCTGCCGCAGCGTCTCTGCTGACGCCAGGCTCAGCTGGGTTCCAGTTAATTAACCATGTTGTCTTATCGGCTCTCTTGCACACATCATCCAGACTGCATGCGAATTAACTCTGCCTGCGATAAGCCTCATTGTACTTAGCCCTGGAGAGCCACACGCTTCCTTCTCAGACTTCCTTCCCCTGACATAAACAATCCAGCTTCCCTCAGCCAAAAAGCCTCCTGAGCTGTCCATGATTCCTTTGAAGTGGGCAGGGCCATTAATGGCACGGTTGGAAAACTGAGCTGCATTTCCTCTCTCCCCCCCCACTTCATCTCCCAAGGCCACCTTCTTCCCCAATCAATCTACAGAGTGTCCTCAAACTAATCACAGTTGGTACCAGAATTTCCATTGCCAAGCAAAGGCAGTTATTAAATGAGACATGCCCAATTTCCCCCCCTTTTTTCCCTTAGTTGTTAAGCGAACCACTGCAGTTATTAAGTGAATCATATGGCTGTAAAATGAATCTAGCATTCCTGGTTGACTTTGCTTGCTGGAAGCCAGCTGGGAAGGTTGCAAATGGTGATCACAAGACCCTGGGATGCTGCAACTGTTGTAAATACATGCCGGTTGCCAAGCAACCCAGTTTTGATCACATGACCGTGGGGATACTGCAGTGGTTTTAAGTAAATCCCTTTTTAAAGTGCTGTAACTTCGAATGGTTGCTAAATGGGTGGTTGTAAAACAAGAACTATTTGGCCCCTCTTTCTGCCTCTGCTTCCCCGCTAGTCTCTGCTAAACACATCCTATGGAAGCATTGGATGGCATTTTTGTAGCTGCACCTTTCCAGACCTTTGATGGATGGAGAGAAATGGTACTTAGCTTTCTGTCCCAGTCCAGGGAAGCCCCAGGGAAGCCGTGCATTTAAGAGATAGGGGGGTTTAATGGTATGTGGAAATGACCTTGGGAGACAGAAGAGCTGCCGACTGAACAACCAGTGTGTAAAAGATATCTCAGCTCACAGAAGGAGGGAGCGTGGGGAAAGCATTTCAGAAGGATCCTCCTTAGTTTTCTGGAGAGTAGAAGGAAAGGAGGGGAGAAACATGTTCAGTTTTGCAAGATTCTGTTTATGTAACCTTGCAAGAAAAAGTTAATGCTCCCCGTTGTCGTCAAGACTGCCTTGAAGAGGGGACTAGCTGGCAATGTTCATCTGAGTCTTCTAGCGTTTTGTTCATGGGATGTAATGAAAAAAAAAACTTTGCCATTGCCCAAGTAATATCCTCTTCTTCCACACAATAGTTCTTAAGTGAAGATGGGAACACATCAATACAGAATAGCATTAGAGCCCAAAGAAAAAGATGTAAGTGGTGCATTTGTCTCCTGAAAATGGCTGGGGAATTCTGGGAATTGAAGTCCCTACACCTTCAAATTGTAAAAGTTGTGGTACATTAGAGAAATGGTGGAAGAAGTAGTGTGGAACTGCTTAAGCAGAATAATAGACTTGGAAGGTACCTTGGGATTCAAATATGTGAACAACTGGTTCTCTGTGTGGCTGCTGCTTAGTTCAGGGGTCCCCAACCCCCGGTCCATGGGCCGGCACCGGGCCGCAGCATGACAGAAACCAGTCCACACAAACAAGCAAAGCCCCATCTGCAGGATGCAGGAAGCATGTGAAACCACACCCCCTCTGGTCCGCAGAAAAACTTCTCTCCACTGAACCTGGGTACCTCTCCTGGTACCCAAAAGATTGTTCTAGTCCAACCTTCTGCTCTGGCAGAAAACCCTACACCATTTCAGACAAATGGCTGTCCAGTCTCTTCTTTAAAACTTTCAATGTTGGAGCATTCACCACTTCTGGAGGCAGGTTGTTCCACTGGTTAATTGTTCTGTCTGTAGTTCTAGGTTGCTTCTCTCCTTGGTTAGTTTCCATCCGTTGCTTCTTGTCCTGCCTTCAGGTGCTTTGGAGAATAGCTTGACCCTCCCTCTTCTTTGTGGCAGCCCCTGAGATACTGGAACATGGCTATCATGTCAACAGAAAGTTATATCTGCCCCCTGGAGATTGCAAGAAAAAGTCTTGTTTGGAAGTATCTGTCTTAAATACAGGTTTCAATGGCACTGAAATAAGCGATTTATTATCTTTTTTTTTACAACCATTGCAGCATCCCCATTGATCACATGATCAAAATTCAGATACTTGGCAACTGGCATAACAGTTTCTATGTCCCAGGTTTATGTAATCACTTTTTGTGACTTTCTGACAAGCAAAATCAATGGGGAAGCCAGATTCACTTAACAACCATGTTACTAGCTTAATGACAATGAATCACTTACAACTGGCAAGAAAGGTCGTAAAATGGGGCAAAACTCTCTTAACAGCTGTCTCACTTAGCAACAGAAATTTTGGGCTCAGTTGTGGTCATAAGTCAAAAACTACCTGTACAATATAGAAAGTCATATTAAAAGGAGCTGGTGTGAAGAATCAAATGCGTGGATTGCAGATTTGGGGGGGGGGTTATATTGTTGGTAGAAATCAGGATCGTAGTCATTAACAATTAATAGTGTTCCATTATACTGCCCACCTCATTCTTTAGCTTTGAGCTTTAACTCTGCTTTAACTCTGAATTAATGCATCTTACTGAAACAACCTGGAAGCTTTGGATGAAGGAACTCTGCAAATAGACAGGGATCTTGGGGGCCCTCAAGTGGCCACATACAGTAGGCCGTGGCAATCCTTCTGGGCAATCATGTTTCAAATCAGAAACATTCCTTAAAAACTATTAAAACATATCAAAATCTTAGGACAGAGGTGGGGAATGATGGCCCCTTTATAACTTGCACACTTCAACTCCCAGAATTCCTGTTGAACTCCACAAGTCAGAGAAGGGCCATCAGTCCCCACCCCTCCCTTAGGACAACCTTTGCTGAGTTAACTGCTTTTTAGATAAGGTGGACCTCAACTCTCTGGATTCTCAGCAAAAAGAGACTGCTGGGAAGGGGTTCGTACATCTGGAGCAGTGTCTCTCAGCCTTGGCAGCTTTAAGATGTGTGAGGTTCCCTAGCTTGCTGGCTGGGGAATTCTGGGAGTTGAAGTCCACAAGTCATAAAAGGGCCAAGTTTGAAGATCCCTTCTCTAGGGCTTCTGAGTTACATTGCTGAAAATTGGTGTTGAAACTGGAAACATCTGAACAGTCTATTATGATTCTTAGTAGCATTGTTCCAAAAATTGAAGACATTTGACTCTGACTCCAGCCTAAGTGGAGAAGAGGAACTGTACTGGTTTGTATCATTGCCTTATCCATTACAGGTAGTCCTTGACTTACAGCCATAGTTTAGTCATAGGTAGTCCTTGACTTACAGCCATAGTCAAAGTTACAACAGCACTGAAAAAAATAACCTACAACTGGACTGTGATCAGAATTTAGGTGCTTGACAACTGGCATCTATTTAAAAGGTTGCATCAAAGGTTGATCAGAGATATCTGATCACCATTTGTAACCTTCCCAACCGGCTTCTGACAAGCAGAGTCAATGGGGGAAGCTAGGTTCGCTTAACCAGCACATGATTCACTTAACAACTGTAGTGTTTTACTTAACAGTTGTGGCCAAAAAGTTTGTAATTATTGAGTGAGAGAGACTCATTTAACCGTCTTGCTTAGCAACAGAAATTCCGGTCCAGTTATGGTTGTAGGTTGAGGATTACCTGTATTGTCTAGGGCAGGGGTCCTCAACCTTGGCAACTTTAAGACTCGTGGACTTCAACTCCCAGAATTCGTCAACCAGCTTTGGCTGAAGAATTCTGGGAGTTGAAGTCCACAAGTCTTAAAGTTGCCAAGGTTGAGGACCCCTGATCTAGGGCTGTTAAAAAGAAAACTCCTTGGCTATATCTCCATACTGCATTCATTTTCCAGTACCTTGATGGAAACATATGAAAAACAAAATAAGGAGCTGCACTCCATTCCCCAAGCACTATGAAAATCCTTCCTGCCCTAACAATACTTTTGATTGCAGCTCCCACTTTTCCTAGCCAATATTCAGAGCCACAAGCACCAGAAACTTTTCTCTTTATGAGTGCTGGCCTTCTTAAAAACGTTAATTCTCTTCCCCAACTCTGAAATTCCAACATGAATTGGATATTGCAAGGAGGAGGGAGAACTTGGAAGTTCTTCGTTGTGCTAACTATAAAAGTAAATGTAAGCCATTTTTCCAGGTTCTCTTGCTTGTGAAATCAATATTTATTTGAAATATTTCAAAGAAATTGTAAATTAAATGATCTTCCTTGTCTCAGTGTCATAAAAGGGATCTGGAATACGCAGGCTCTTATCTAGAAGTCACATTTGGCAAACAGAGAGGTTGGTGAGTGATGATAAGTTACAAGGATCTTTAGTGCTCTCTGAGCTTGGTTGTTTTCTTATAGATGTTTCATTCCCAAACTAGGTAACATCATCAGTGCTAGCACTGATTATTTATTCAAGATGGACAGTGATTAATATTTATATGTTACTTATATGTAAGGGTATAGACCTATACATATGTTGTATATAGTATGTTTAAATGTGTGTTATGTATGTGTACATTTTGAGAGCAAGCAACTAAATTTCATTTTTAATGTGTGCCATTGTGCCCACAGTAAAAAACGAATATAAAGGTTATCCATCTATCTAGCTATGATGTTGCCTAATTTGGTAATGAAACATCTGCAAGAATACCACCAAGCTCACAGAGCATCAAGGATCTCTCATTTCAATCCTGAGCTACAAATATTTTCTTGTATTGGTAACCTAGAAGTAAAAAACGTGAGCATAAATGACTCTTCCTTTCATGACTCTGCAGGGAGACAATATTTCAAACTGTTCTTTACTTAAAAGCATTTCTGCCTCTTCTTTGGCAGGAGCTGGCTAAGAAGCAACTGGGACCAATAACGACTGAGATTCGGGAGGCTGGCGAATTCTACTACGCCGAAGATTACCACCAACAATATCTGCACAAAAACCTGGATGGCTATTGTGGCCTGCAAGGCACTGGTGTGGCCTGCCCCGTAGGCAAATGAGAGTTCCCCAATGGGAGTATCCTTGGGAGCTACGGTAATCATAACCCTTGAACAGTTACTATGGCACCCGGCGGCCTAGCATCTTCGTAATTCAACTGTGATTTAGCAATGGGGGCCTTTGTTCCCTTCTTTTATGTCTTGTAGGACCCTGTAAGATTTGGGGATCAGGTCAAAAATGGGCAGCCTGCTGGACGAATTTGCTGTGGATGTTAATACTTTGTGTGGGAGAGATAGATATAATTTCCATCCAACGCAGATGTTTGGGATCGCCTGACAAGGGGCTGATAAATATACATTATGCATTTATCCTTTTCCTTACCATCCCTAAGAAAACTGATGGAGCCATCTGTGATTCCTCCATCTTTGCAGTGAATTTGGTTATCCAGCACAGGCAGTCCTCAACTTACAACCACACTTGGGACTAGAATATCCATTGCTAAGCAAAATAGTCACTAAGTGAATCATGCCTGATTTTACAATCTTTTTTGCCTTGGTTGTGAAGCAAATCACTACAGTTAACTGAATCGTGCAGCCGTTAAGGGAAGGTCACAAATGAAGGTCCCATGAGGGTCCCATCACATGAGCCTGGGACGCTGCAACCATCTTCTATACATGCCAGGTTGCCCAGCACCCAAGTTTTGATCTCGTGACCATAGGGATGTTGCGAGAGTTGTAAGTACAAATATTAGTTGTAAGTCACCTTTTCAGTGCCTTTGTAATTTGAAATGATCACCAAACATGTAAGTCAAGAACTGCTGCATTGGTCCCAACCCACTTCCTTATCTTGCCCTCTGTCTGGGTTGGTAGGGCTTAGAGAAAGAAAACTCTGTATACCCAAACTTTGCTCTTTTGATCTGTATCTGCAATAGTGGCAAATATCTGTAGCTCGGTTGTAGGATGATAAAGGCTCGTTCTCTGAGCTTGTGGATTGGTTTCTGAATGTTTTGATACCAGGCTAGGTAACATCCTCAGCTGAGTTCAGGGGATGTCAGAGTTCTGTTTATAAGGGCTTCGGGTGTGGGTGTGTCAAGTGAGGGTCTTGTGATGGCTCAGGTGTGAATCATCAGTGAGAGGCTTGTGATGGGTCTTGGTTACATCAGGCCAGGGTCACTGACACTGACATCCCCTAAACTTCGCTGAAGATGTCACCTAGCCTGGTAATGAAACTTTCAGAAACCAACCCACAAGCTTGGAGAACGAACTTTCACCCTAATTCTAAATCTGGCACTTGCAATGAAAATCTACCTGTCACGCTACCTTCAATCTACCTCTGCCCAATGGATCTTTACATACTAAATTCTTCGACAAGGTGCTTATGAGCTGAACAGATCTATAGGCATCCCTTTTGGCTTGGGACCACTTTCCCATCTCTCTTCATTTTTTTTACAAAATGCATTTAAATATCATTTCTCTTTTTAGTTACATTTGCTTGCTTTCTAGGAAATGAGAAGTTTTGTCTTGTACAATGGACAATTTTGGGGACAATTGTAAAGAATTGGCAGTTCTTTTGAGAAAGGTGGAAGCTCTTCCTTATGAAAGACGTTTGGCCAAAGTTCCCTTTAAAGCGCTTAGTTGCCCTCCACCACCAAATTTTGGACCCTCATTCTAGTGTTTTACTAAAGCTACAAAACCATTGGACAGAGACCTATCTGCTCCACAGATGCCTTACAAAGTTGGGGTGCCCTCCAGCTGTCTGGAATTCCCTAGTCAACAATGCCAGTGCTAAGAATTTGGGAGGGGGTCCCCACATTTCTGGAGGATACCTATTTCTAGCCAACAGTCATACACTCTATTCCACACCTAGGAAGTTCTGATCAGCTCTCTTATTCTTGGTTGGCCATGAATGCAACTATGTCTTCAGGAATCCATTAGAGTTGAGCGACCGATAAATGAAATAAATAGGTATATTTCAGTGTGAATACTAAGCTGTGTGTCTAAATTTAGTGTGGTGCAAAGAACATACCACTTGCCTCGTCATCATGCCAGTAGTGAACACCACCTGGTGTAGAGCTGATTCTCTCTATGCCAAGCTCTGGTTCTTCTGTTAGGCAGAAACAGATTTTGCACAAAGTCCTTTCCTTCTTTTCAAAGCAGGAAACCACATCATTTCACAAAAGTGCTTTGAAACAGAGTACCTCTGTTGTGAAGTTGAATTTGGAATTAAGCATTCTTTAAAGTAGAGCTTTTATAGCCCCCTGGCCACATCCAGCCCTCTGGCCTTCTCTCAAGCCTGCGTGGATCACTTTTATTTTGAAAGTGACTGCCTTCAAAACTAATTTAATTTACATATGTGCATGCATGCATGTCTACACACCTCACAGCCCTATTGGTTTGGCCCTTCACACAGTTCCAGTTTCTCATGTAGCCCCTTGGGAAAGTGTATTACCCACCCCTGCTTTGAAGAGATGCAGAGTCCTGGTGTGGTGGAATGTGGTCTGGATTCCCAGGGGAGAGGGGCTGCATTCCAGAGCAGCAAAAGACAGCAAAGTTTAGATAGTGGGAGAAAGAGTTAAAACAGCTGCTCTGTAAGTGTTCTCAGAGTATATTTAATGGTGCAAGTAGCTGCTTCAGTTTGTCAAGATTTCTGTCTGTAGGTGAAGAACCATAAAGGAAAATGCTTAGAAGAACCTCAACATGTGTTTCTTAGTTTTTGGACCCTGACACCTGTCAATTGCTCTCTGTTTTATCCAATTCCTGTACTTTTTGTTAGGACATTAAAATTGCCTTGTTCCCAAGCCTGAATTTCATGATTGTAACACAATCTCTCTGATATTAACATGCAACACACAATTTAAAATGTATATGCTATTCATGGTAAATATCAAGTATCAAATTACTTGCAAGGCAATTCAGATTTTTGGAAGGTTGTGTTTTTTTTGTTTTTTGTTTACTTAAGTAATGATATGCAGTACTGTTTTCTGCAGTCAGGTTGGAATCCTATATCTTAAAAAAACAGAATCCTTATACAGAAAAAAATGGTGCCACAAGAGGCAGGATCATCCACTTTGAGGAAACTCAAATATTTGCAAAAGTATAAAGTATCTTGGAGTAGGAAGGACTTACTGCACAGCTGGTGGTTTCGCCTCACTGCTTACATGATAAACCGCATTTTTGTATAGTATGATGGGCAGGCAAGTCAGCTTAGCTTCCTGCCAGTTGGCCAGCTTAGCTTCCAAGCCAGCTGGCCAATGCAGAGCACCAAAATTGGCAGCTAGCTGGCAGCCTTCGCATTTCCTTATTCTTCTCTTGGTTCATGTGCTTTTCTCAGTAAGGTGGAAAGGAGACCCCAGCAGGCTTCCCTGGGAAGGGAGGGAGGTTGTGTGTGGCATAGCCATGTTATTGTTATTGCAACAATAACCACAGTGCCTTTCCATATCGGGAAGAGAGGACCATCACAGGAGAATCCTCATGAAAACAGACTGCTACAACACTCCCAAAATGCAGCAAAATTCTGAGTGCAACTTTTCCCCTGGCACAAGAGCTGAGTCAACTTCTGAAGCTCACCGGAAACTGCAGAGATTCATGGGGCTATACAAAGCAAATCAGCCTCAGAGCTACACAGAGTCCTTGCCTTATGACCAAACTGGGACCAGAATTTCTGTTGCTAAGCAAGGTGGTCATTAAGTGGGTCGCACCTTCTATGTTTGCTATGGTGGTTAAGCGAATTGCTGCAGTTGTTAAGTGAATGGCAGGTTCGTTAAGAAAATCTGGTGTTCTGTATTGACTTTGCTTGTCAGAAGCTGGCTGAGAAAGTCACAAATGGTGACCACTTGACTCCGGGATGCTAAACTGTCATAAATGCACATCGGTTGGCAAGCACCCAAATTTTGATTGGAGATGCTGTCGTGGTTGAGGATTGGTCATAAGTCAGTCTTTTCAGTGCCATTGTAACTGAGCAGTCGCTAAATGAATAGTTGTAAGTTGGGAACATCATTCGCCTGCATGGAAGGGCCCCGAAGATGCTTAGGTTACAGGTGTGATTGTGACTCTAGTGGCTATTGGTAGAAGAAAGAGAATTGGAAGAGAATGTCCCATGATAAGACATGATAGGCAGGGCAAAAAGCAACGGATGGAAACTGATCAAGGAGAAAACCAACCTGGAACTAAGAAGAATTTTCCTGACAGTTACAACAATTAATCAGGCGAATGGTTTGGCTTCAGAAGTTGTGGGTGCTCACTCACTGGAGGTTTTAAGAAGAGATTGGACAGCCATTTGTCTGAAATGGCATAGGGTTCCTGCTTGAGCAGGGGGTTGGACTAGAAGACCTCTGAAGTCCCTTCCAATTCTTGTTATTCTGTTATTCTGACTTGACTCACTGATTTCCCAAGCAGGCACTCACAGGTGGGACTTCAGAGTAGGCCAACTTCTGTTCATCAAGTGTTGGTTATACAACCCATCAGTGTGCTCCTTCCCAAAGTCTGCCCCCCAAATTAGATGCCCTAAACCACATGGGAACATGGTTATGCAGCCTCCCATGCAAGTACAAAGAGACTATGAAGTAGGGCTATCTCACAAGATTTGGTACATCAACCACACTCCAGCAGGCCTTTGAAAAACATGTAAAACTCTATGACGATAGCAAGTCTGACCTGCTATAAGATCACTTCCTATGCTGTCTCTACAGTATCTTTAAGTGGGGGGAATGGCACACCGAAACGATTTTAAAGATAGACACTTTAAAATGGTCTTTTCTTTGATGAAAGAGAAATGTTCCTTCTGACATACACTCTTGTATATTCCACAGACTGCCAGCTGGGGGAGCCGTATGCCTAAACTACAAAAAGTAAGCATAGAGATAATAGCATTTTCCTGACTTGGCAAACCGTTTGGAAAAAGATAAAAGAGGAAAACAAGCAAGCAGATCCATCGAAAATGGGGAGAGAGACTTCCAACACATTTACCCAAGGCCTGATGCAAAAGATAATATGGCCTAGATCAGGGTTTACCAACTTTGCTAACTTTAAGACATACGAACTTCAACTCCCAGAATTCCCCAGCCAGTCCACACATCTTAAAGTTGTCAACACTGGTAAACTCTGGCTATAAACTTTTAAGCATTCTTTCTCTCCACCCACCCACCCCGCCTTCCCCAGAAATGCATGAATGGTTGAAGTTCCTTTGAATGGAGATGAGCTGAATGAAGTCTAGTGAATTTCATTCACCCCATGAGAGAGTTGCTGGTGACGGAAGAAAGGCAGGGAAAAACAATTAGGGACCTGGAATTCTTTTATTATTATTTTTAAACAGGATAAAGCTTGTAGCCTCCCTCATTCTTAAGAAACCTCTGAATCATCAAGTCAACAACAATCCAGGAAGATGCTGGCAGCCTTGACCTTCCCTGTTTTAAAGAAGCGTGTTAGAAAGCCTAAGTATTGACTTTCTATTATCTTTACTTATCTTTTTTGGCTCCAGAAATTGCTGTTTCTGAATTTGCTTCTCTTTATTCCCTCTAAACTGGAAAGCAGCTGTGTCACAACTGAGGCTACAGTGACAGTCTATGTTCCTTTTATCTTTGGGCACAAATGTGCCATTTCTGGCTGAATAAAGAATTCTGCAAATCAATCAGGATCCCTCTTTTTGCCTGAAAATGTTTGAAAAAAGAAATTAAGGTATCTTGACAGCGACTTAACTTTAGAAGCAGAAGACATTCTGTGCTGATGCAGGAAAACATTTCCCTGTCATTAATCATCGCCACTCCAGCTGCGATGTGTGAAACAGCTTATCATGTGGATCAAGGCCATCGCATGATATATCTCCCACATTCCAGTTCTAGCAATCATTGGACAAAAGCCATGGCTGATCCTTTCTTTCAAAGTCCAGAGGGATGAGCAAACTACTTGCTTTAAATCTTCAGGTGATTCACAACCGGAAATATGTTGGAAGCAGGCATGATGGTAGATCCTAACATAGGCATGGCATGAATCAAAAAGGCATTGGAAAATCAGCTTTTGGCTCCCCAGGTCTCTGGTTCCTTAATTCTGGCAGGGGAGATCTTCAAAACAGAAATCCAGGAATCCCACTAAAGGACAAGCAGGAAAGATCCTACACATAGCAGGAAAAATAAAAGGGAAAAATTCACATTATGGATTTCACATCAAGGCTAGGGCAAGCATGCTACACCAGAGTGAATTAAATTAACCCAAATGCCTAGGGTTTGCATGATACAAGTAGTCCTCGACTTACAACAGTTCATTTAGTGACCATTCAAAGTTACAACAGCACTGAAAAAAGTAACTTATGACCATTTTTCACACTTACAACCGTTGCAGCATCTCCATGGTCATGTGATCAAAATTCAGATGCTTGGCAATTGACTCATATTTATGATGGCTGCAGTGTCCCAGGGTCATGTGATCACTTTTTGTAACCTGACAAGCAAAGTCAATGGGAAAGCTGGATTCACTTAACAACCGTGTTACTAACTTAACAACTGCAGTGATTAATTTAACAACTGTGGCAAGAAATATGGTAAAATAGGACAAAATTAATTTAACACTTGTCTCACTTAGTAACAGAAAACTGGGGCTCAACTGTGGTCATTAGTTGAGGACTACCTATACACTGATCTATGAAGTAACCACAGGCTAGGATTTTACAATTCATTGCTGCTTTCTGGTTCCGTATTTTATGCCCAGCCTTAAGAGAGCTGTCTAGAGCTACCACTGAGTAGAATCGGTATGCAACTTTTGTTGGTTCAAGAATCACACTGAACCTTGGTTGATGTATTGAGGCCCACACTCCAAAATTGGGACAGGATGTAGATTGTTTGGGGATGAGTCATTTTCTGAAGGACTGAAATGAAGGCTTTAGGCACTCATTCACCTGTTAACATCCCAAAGACCCCTAAAATGGAAACATCAGGTAAAATCTTGGATCCTAGGCTTCCCAGAAGAGACTTGAGCCCACAAAAGGGGTGCTACTGAGTCACTATTTGCATTCTGGATGACCCTTTATTTTCAAATTTTATCTCTCTGAGATCTTTAGGGAAAATCTCAGTGACACGATGCCATTTCCCTTCTTTTCTTAGTAGATGCAGCAGTCTTTAAATGCGATAACTATTGGCCTAAGCATCTGGAAGCCATCTTTAGGGATTGTGCGGTTTTTGACTCATCCTTGGTTCCTCCCTCCTTGTCTGCCTTACAATTTTCAAAATAGGCTTAGACAACAACATCAAAATTCCATGCAGACACCAAACCTAACAAACCACTAGTAATGAGAATTTATGCATTATTCCAGCCGTAAATTGTGAAACTCAACAGGAAGGAAACCATCAAGATAGGTTAGAATTAGAGACGCAAAAAATACAGCTCACCAAGATTCCTTTTGTGGACAACAGAGGCCCGAGGAATAAGCGATCCAAAACATTTGCTCCATTGTTCAGATCCGGAGGGAATTTGAGATGGCAAGAAAGGGTCTGCCATACTTTCAACCAGCTCTAGATTCCAAGAAGTCTTTAAAGGCACTTCTATATAGAGCAGGTTGCAATTGTCCAAGCAGGTGATGACAAGGGCATGAGTCACTATTGCTAGGCCCTTTCACCTAAGGGAAAACTGCATCTGGAGCACCAGCTGAAGGAAGAACTCCTGGTGACAGCTTCCACCTGTCGTTCCAGCACAAGTCACAAGTTCTTTAAGAGCAAGTGCTTCCCTATCCAGAAGGGAGACAGAGAAACTTGATGGATGAACAGTAGTTCTGTCTTGCTAGGATATAATTTTAGCTTGTTCTCTCCCATCCACACCTTCACAACTTCCAAGTAGCAATAGCAATAGCACCTAGACTTAATTACCACTTCACAGTACTTTTACAGCCCTAAGCGGTTTACAGAGTCAGCATATTGCCCCGAATAATCTGGGTCCCCATTTTACTGACCTCAGATGGATGGAAGGCTGAGTCAACCTTGAGCCGGTGAGGATCAAACTCCTGGCAGTCAACAGAATTAGCCTGTAATACCATCTTCTAACCACTGTGCCACCAAAGCTCTTTACAATTATCATACCACGTTGAGACTTCAAAGATATCACCAGCTCAGCTTGAGATTAAAATCCAAAGCTGAGTCTCATCAGGATATATATATTTATCAAATTTAGACACCACCCTGCTCACTCACGGAATGAGTCTGGACAGTATTGATATTGATGTATTAAGTGGCTTCATGTAGCTTTAAATAGAGTGCATTGACCTCTGTAGTACCCCATGGTGGGCAAATACAAGTCTGACCTCTTCTACACCACCATGAATGGAACCATCTGCTAAGGATGGTGCAAGATGGTGTCTCCCATTCTCAGCAGTCCCAGATGGTTTAAAGCAGGGGTCTTCAAACTTGGCCCTTTTATGAATTGTCGACTTCAACTCCCAGAATTCCTCAACGAGGCACGCTGGCTGAGGAATTCTGGGAGTTGATGTCCACAAGTCATAAAAGGGCCAAGTTTGAAGACCCCTGCTTTAAAGAATGTCAAGTTTGCTGTTATCAAAGGCTGCTGAGAGATCTAATAGAATCAGGTGCATTGCCCATGTTCAGCCCTTAAAAGTTAGATAGGCCAGGGAATCTAGCAGCTGCCATAAATGAGATATTTGCAGCTACCTTAGTGTCTGTAGGCCCTTTGTTACCTGTTTAGACTGAGCTGAAGTAGCTTAAAACTAGCTTCAAGCGTTCAACTCAAGATAGTCACTCAAGAAAGAAAAAAGTAAAGAAAGGATTTAATACGTTTTAAATGAAATGTGGTAGTTATACCAAAGGTGCTTTTTCAAAAGGCATCTGAATTTGGTTTTCCTTGAAGACATTTTGCTTTTCATCCAAGAAGCTTCTTCAGTTCATTTCTTGGATGAGAAGCGAAATATCTTCAAGGAAAAACAAAGCCCAGTTGCCTTTTGAAAAAGCAGTTTGGGGACAACCATGACCTGGATGGGAGGATCTCCATAAACATGTGATAATTGTAGATTAAGTGAAAGAGAGAGGGAGAGGGAGAGAGGGGGGGGGAGAGAAAAACCCTCTGTAATAAATTCCATGATTATCTGAAATGTCTTCTTAATCATGGGTAGGTCTAACTGGAATACTTGTCCAAATGTTGAAATGAAATCTTCATTTTGTAAAAAAAAAAAAAAAAAGGAAGACCCTGGTTTGGATGTATCTTTTATTTATCAGGATGGATTATGCTCTTGCATAAGTTTGCCAGATCCCAA